CCAGGATACCCACTCCATTCTTACCCCTCAGGACACCAGAGTACCACAACTTATACCCATCCACGTTTTTCGCCCTCGATCCGACCCACCTAGTCTCCTGGACACACGCTATATTAATCTTCCTCTTCTGCAGGATTTTCGCCAACTCTATGGATTTACTCGTTAGTGAACCTATGTTCCATGACCCGATTCTCAACCTATAGGCTCCCTTGCCCCCTCTACCTCCCCTGCTACCCGACCCACCCCCTGAACCCCACCCCACACTCTGCCCCACCCGAGGACATGCCCTTATTCTATCATCCCAGACTGCAGCCACTACACCTACAACAATCTAGAGAAGACTCGCTAGTACACAACGTACACAAATCAAACTAGAAGGAAACACATGGTAACTAGTATCCTAGTTTAAAGGTTTAACTATTGCGAAGTAAAGTAACAGTAATTTAGCTAACACCAAAAGAGAAACAGTAAAACAGGAGGTACCAATTCCCGATAACAAAACTTGTGGCTGATTTGATGTGCTCGATGTAGTTGTATGCTCCCGCCCACTTCCTACCACCCTTGCTGACACTCGCCCAGGTTACTCTCCTTAGCCAGTGCTCGTGCGCCCAACTTGTCTCCAATACTCCGAGAATTCCTGAAAACACAGAAAATACCACGACCCAAAAACCAGAAGGAGCTATCGCCGCTACCACTGGTTAGCAAAGAAGCAGAGCAAAACGATTGCTTTTTTTCAATTGAAACAGATGCACCACTAAACTGGGGGAAAAATCAGCTAGATAAATCAAAGTAAAATCAAGTAAGAGAAAAAGATAATAACTTTGATCTGAACAAAGACACAACAGATTCTAAAATCGTTAACCCCTTTTCAACAGGAACAAGATACAGTGAAGAAAAAGAAAAAGGAGCGAACACAGTGAAGAGAGAGAAAGTTGGTCCAGTTTTTCGTCCTTTCCAGATTTATTTTCCTATTGCCTCCAATTTATTTTATTTATATTCAGTGATGAAGAAGAAGTAACAAAAGAAGAACACAGAGAAAATCTAGAATCTGTAATATATCAAGAAATGGAAATGGGAAAGTGGGAATTGAAGATCTGTCNTAAGAACACAGAGAAAAATCTAGGATCTGTGATATATCAAGAAATGGAAATGGGAAAGTGGGAATTGAAGATAAAAAATTGACGCTACAAAAATAATACCATTAAAAAAAATAAAAAATAAAAGAAAACAGTAAAGCTGGGTTGCCTCCCAACAAACGCTTGATTGAACGTCGCAGCACGACGTGAATCACTTAAGGCCTCCACTTTGAACTTATGAATTGGACCCCAAGTTTTGATTCTGCTCTATGATCATGCTCCTGGAGCAATACAAATTGTTGCGAGCCAATAATTAAATGATACTTTATGAACTTTTTGGCTTTTAATCGAGGAATGTCACTTTGCCTAGACGGCCTTGAAAATTTCAGAATATAGGGCTCATCTACCTCTTCCTTTGACTCTTGCATTGGCTCATACGGCTTAGTTTCCATTTCACCATCTGAACATAATGTAGAGAAGTGTTTGGAATGAGGTCTAACGCGCTCAAATACATGAACTTCAAGATTTTTAACCTCCTCAACACCAATCACACTAGAGTCAACTAAATTTGTATCTTCAACGTCCCTGGTTGACTCTAGTATTACTTTTTCAACATCGGCATCCTCAAATTCCAGCTGGTTAGAATGTTGGGGTTCTACTTTGGACCCCTCCATTGGCACCTCAATTTCCATCTCTAATGCACACTGCTCCTGGCTACTATCCATAATACTGGCATATTGAGCATTAAAAGCTTCAACTAGTTGACTCACTTGAACCTCCAAGTTGCGAATAGTTGCATCTTGCCTTTGTACCCGCAGTTGTATCTCATCATATTGTTCTACAAGGCACTTTAGCATATCCTCGATCTTTTTCAGGTCATTATCCCTGGTTTTTTGTTCCTATTAACTTCACAAGAAAAAGAAGAACCATCAAAGTTGGGAGAAGATAAGAAATATAAGCACAACCATGAAAGTGACCATCTTGACCACCATACATATCACACACATTCCGCACATAAGATTGAGTTGGTGCACATAACTCGGTCTTGGGAATATTTTGATAATGTTGCCCTGGGTGGTTTCCTCCACCAATATGCATAAGGAGGATCAAAAGTAGAATTCCCAACATCAAAACTCTCATAATTCCAAGATTTTATGTCTCTCAAGTCAAAAATAAAAAATAAACAAATACAAGAAAACAAAAATAAAAGTTCAAACTTGCAACCTAAAAATATGTACACCTACAACTACACCGTTAGTTCTCCGGCAACGGCGCCAAATTTGATCACGCCCAACTATGCCTTATAAAAAGGACTAAGCGGTCGTTGCAAATATAATCCGGTTTATAAGTCCGCAGTCGAATCCCATAGGGAACTAAGGCTTAGCTACAGTTGTTCAATATCGCTAAGAAACACAAGTCCAAATAATTTCCTAATTATAAAGATTATAATGTTTATTTTTATCTAATTAACTAACAAATACTAGAAAGCAGTAAAACTATCAATTAACAAGGATAAGGATTGGAGACAAGATTAAGGAGGTCTAGAGTTATGATTTCCCCTATTGTCGGAATCCTTTATGCTACATTTTCTATAAATTCGCCTAAGTATTCTCTATCGATCATGAGCGCTCTAACTGTCGTAACTCTCTCCCGAGTAATTACCTCAATTTACTAGACATATTCTTCCGAATTACGCTAGTTGGCATTAAGTACGGCTCACTCGGATCGCACCCAAGGTTTCGTTATCCCTAATCCCACTTTTAAACCCTTCGTATTGATCCCTCATATACGTTAGGAGTGATGTTGTTCAACAACTACCTAAATATGCACTCTCTCCCGAGTAATACACACTAAATAGGCACAGTCGATTGAGAGCTCTTCAACCAACCACAATAATAACGTAGTTGAACAAATAGAGAAAATACTACATCAAATCAAATCTATATTAACGTAACAGGAGAATCATCCTCCAATAGGTTCCATCAAAACCCTAGATAACAAATTAGCTATTCATAATAGTATGCATAACTACAATACTTGAATTCATAACCAATAATGAAAATAGGAAGAAAGAAGTGAAAAACTCGTAGAAGAATTCTCCGCCTTGCTCCTAGTGTGTTCTTGCCTCCTTAGGCCGAATCCCTAGTCTCCTTAGCCTCCTTAGGTCTAAATTATGTCAAAAGTATGTCTTCCCCCTTAAAATAGCGTTTTTACATGTATTTATACCAAGTAGGGTCGGGCCCAGACGAAAATACCTTCTCCCGCGCGAAGTAGGACTCTGGCTCTGTAAAATTTGCACAGGTGCGCTGCATGGGGCGACGCGCCACGCGGCGTGCTTGTGGGGAAGTTCAGAGAGCTGATTCTAACAGGTTGCAGGAAATTTCCATAGGCGCGGCGCATGGTGCGGCGGGGAATTCGCAAAAATGCAAAACATGAATGTTGTAGCCCTTTCAAATAGCTTTTCAACGATATATTGTGGAGCCCAAACGAAGTTCTGAGCGAAAAGTTATGTGCATTTTACTAGACAATGCGCCATATGCCCGCTCGATTCTCCGTTTCGTTCTTAACTATCATCCGTTGATCCCCGAACACGATCCCGGCTTAATTCCTTAGGCTTTTACTCAGACTTCAAAGCTCTAAATCACTTGAATTCATTCCATAACATCTACATAGCTCGGAATCATTCCTACAAGGCATAAAATACACAATCTAATGCAAAACACTAGCGATTATAGCTCAAACTCAATTAAAGTGTAGTATATTAAAATGTAATAAGTGACTAAAATACGCAATTATAGCCTATTATCAAGATGCAGTGTTATTGGGCATTGTCCAGGAGATTCCAGCCTGATTGAGATAGAAATGCCAAAGTTGAGTAGTGACTGAACAGTGTATAAAGAGATGGGAAACTGACTCCCCATCTTTGCCACATAGACTGCACTTAGCATGTAGCTGAATTCCTCTCCTAATAAGATTATCCTGAGTTAGAACAGCTTCCCTTGCTACTAACCATGTGAAGCATAAGACTTTTGTGGGCGCCCTGACCCTCCAAATTTGTTTCCATGGCCATCCTTGAGTAGGATTAGGAGTATTGTTGATGAAGTGATAAGCAGATTTCACTGAAAAGGATCCTGATTTGTGACCCTTCCACATTAAAGTATCTTCCTCTTCTGTGAGACCTTGGAAAGTTTCTAAGGTCTCCCAGAAATCTGCCACACTTTGCAACTCCAAGTTATTTAAGTTCCTTCTGAAAACAATGTTCCACCCATGTGTGGATTTTGCTTCTGCTACTGAAATTCTTGGATTCGTAGCAATGTTATACAAGTTTGGAAACTGATCTTTCAGAGGAGTGTGCCCAAACCATGTGTCACACCAGAAGAGAACTCTTCTTCCATTTCCAACCTTGATGCTAGAACTCTTGTATGTAGTTTGGATCTTATCTGTCTGAAGATTGTAAAGCTTCCACCTCATGATCCATTCTTTGCGAAGATTCCCTGAGTTGTGCATATTTTCTTGTTCTTTAGATTTCCCACTATATTTACTCTTTTAGGTACTCTTAGTCAGTTATTCAATAAACTTTTAGATGTTTGCCTTCAGAAAGACATCCTGATTTCTGAGTTTAGTTGTAGGACATTTTTGACTTGTTGACCTTTTTTTTTCTCCCACCCTTCTCAGACCTCACTTGTAGGATCACACTGGGTATGTTGTTGTTGTTGTTGACCTTTTTTTCTCTTTCCTTTTTTTTGGGGATTGAAAGTTTGAAATTCAGAAAACCAATTTATGCTCCCCTCCCCCAACCCCCCCAAAAAAAAAAAGCAAAAGAAAAGAATAAAAGAAAATAGCTGTATTTTTTTTGTTGCAAAATCCAGGTTTCTCATAGCTAACGCAAAGATCATAATCCTCCTTTATATCCTTTTTGTGTAGTAGGTTAATTTTCTGTTTGGAGGGTTTGCTGTGAAAATGGATGCTTTTCACTTTGATGACGTTATCAAGGTTCATAAGGTGAATTTTAATGGCAGTAAGTATGACAAAGGTACTATCTCTTTGATTGCTCCATACAATCTTGATACCATTCACAGTGGTTTGGAACCAGGTGGTGCTAGGATGATTGTTGGTCTCCAAGCACACCCTCTGTCTCTATATTGTTTCATTCTTCTCGTGGGATTTCATTTTTATTTTTTTCCCTTGGTTATGGGTAAGATGCAGAGAGTAATCAGGAAGGGTGTGATATCTCCTACCAGATATGCTGCATTACAAGTTGGGCTGCATTGTTACTTTATGGTGAATAGAGTTCATTTAGATGCCATTTAGGCTCATTATTAAACTGTGGACACTCTTAATGCATGCGGAAAATCTAATGATCTTATAGCTTGGTGATGTACTTTATTTGAAGGGATTTAGATGAAAAAAGCATACAATGAAAATGTCATAGTATATTTTGGTAAGGAGAGTTTTATATCAAAAACGATTTCATGTTTTTAGTAGCTTTTGAAGGGATTAGTGCAATTGCAATGGAATCTTATTACCGATGCAATAACCAAAAAGTTTTCACCACGAGCTGACAAAACCTCCTTCAGCCTTCTCTCATGTATTCCTTTTCTCGTGTTTTTTGTCCACAGAGTTTGGAGTTTGGAATCTGGAATTACTGATGAAATTTTTTGCTTGCTCATAATCTATTGATCTTTATTTAGTGGATGATTATCATGGCTTCCAGTGTCTAAAGCTGGTATCATATTAAAATTTTACATTCTTTTTGAGAAACAGAAAATATTGATGTTGGTGAGTAGTTGAGTACCATGATAGAAACCTGGTGCATGTCTGGTAGTGACTGAATCTCGTAGCTCCTCTCCAAGAACAAGAATGGTACTCCCTCTGTTCCAATTTATGTGAACCTATTTCCTTTTTGGTCCGTTCCAAAAAGAATGAACCCTTTCTAAATTTGGTAACAATTTAGCTTAAAGTTACAACTTTGCCCTTAATGAGAAGCTTTTATAACCACACAAATACTCTGGGCCCCATTTGGACTTGTTTAGGACCACAAATTCCAAAAGTCTTTATTTTTTTCTTAAACTCCGTGCCCAGTCAAACAGGTTCACATAAATTGGAACGGAGGGAGTATATCAGTTTGTGGTGTTTTGATAAAAGGATGGCTTTTTGGAAGAGAAGAGAAGTAGAAAAATGGTTGTTTTTAATGTATAAAGTTTCTAATGCATAATTTGCAATACTAAATCTGAAGGCGATGCTTTCTGAAATATATAAATAATTAAGTAGATCAGTCTGTAGTTAGAAGAAAAGGTTATTTAGTTTGGACTTTTGCAGACAAAAATCAGGATAATCCATAATTTATTGGTTTCTATGTGAACTTTTTCCAATCCACATTTGCTGGCTGTTTGTTTTTAAACTAAAATATGATGTGGTTCTAGATTCCTACAGTGATGTAAATTAATATAGAGGAGCGTTACGTGTGCTTTTTGCTGTCTAGAGTACATTTCTTCTGATTTATTTTGGGGGTGCATTGGGATTTTGGTAAGGCGATAAAATGGTTTCATCGACTCTGTTGATTGATCAGCTGTTGCATTTCTATGTAATTGGTCCTTTAACTGAAGCTTCTCAATTTCTTCAGTTTCTCGCATAGAAGCAGAAAGTCAAGATGGAAACACATTTTGCCAGCTAGTGATCATCCGAGAGTTATATTCTGTTCATCCGAATGAATTGTATAGGATGGTTATTTCAGAGGTAGACAAAGACAATCCTGATGAGTCAGATTTTGCTGGCTATCTTCCTGAGGTATCTGTCCCATTTACTTATTGAGATGCATCTGCATCTTTTTCTTTAATTATCTTGCAAAGTGTCATCTGATGGCCAAGAAAATTTTGGGTATACGCTCTACGAATTTTTTTTGTGGGGACAAGAAAACTGGTCCTCATCTGAAGAGTCCTAATATGCTCTATGATTTGTTAATCTCAAACCTTTTATTTTCAGATCTCAGCACAGATTGCTTGCTGAGTTCATATACATATTTGGCGATGAATTCATAATTTTGACCTTGTACAATAGACCCTTGTGGTCCAGTCCTTTCCCGGACCCCGCACATAGCGGAGCTTAGTGCACTGGACTGCCCTTTTAGTTCAACGGTCTCAAAGGCTAAGATTGAAGCAGCTTTTGATTATAAAGCCATGTGGTCGGTTTTCATTTTCTTGACTTCTTGGAGTGGCCAAATATCCTTATTTCCTTATTAACCATTCAAGAAAATACTGGAAGCATGTTTGCGGTGTAAATCTTTTTTTATTACCTCAAGGCTTTTGACAATTTTAAAGTGTAGTTCAGAGTTGTGGCTGCGCCTTTTAGATTGCCTAAACTTACTCTATGCCTTTTTTATTTTCTTCAATTGCAGGGAAAGCAGAAATCACCTGCGGACCAATTCGAATTCATCATGCAAGGGAAAGTGTATAATGTCTCAACGGATACATCAGGATCTGACACTAAAGCGTATGTAGTATATTCTACTTGCCCCACTTCTTCATAACTTCTATGAAATTGCTAGCTAGTTTCAACTTTCAAGATGTTCTGTGGATTGAAGAAAGAAGAGCCAAAAAACATAAGAGGAATTGACAGATGCATTACCTTCTTTATTTCCCTCATGTCTATTTTCTTCTGTTCTATAAGTTTGGGAGTAATTTGCCATTTATCTGCTCTTGGTTGTCTTATCCTATTGTCACTGAACAAACAACTCCAAACCTTGGCCTTTGTTCAATTATGTGGTAAACTGAAAGCTCCCCGTGGATCCCGTTGTAGTTTAAAGGATGCTAATGGTACATTTTATGGCCTTTCATGAGGATAAGCTTGTCATAGCATCATTATTGTTCCGCATATTCTCAAAGGTTAAGCTTAGAGATCCAAATCTTTAGACGATCTATTAATAATTTGTATCTTCTCTTTTGTGTTCAGAGTGGTTCATATCTCCTTTGGTGGACTTCAGTTTATGCTGAAAAGTGACCCAGCCAAGTTGCAAAGGTTTAAGCGGGGCCAGAGGATCCTTCTTCTTATGACGAAGCTGTGAAAGCGGTTGTGCTGCTGCAGTGGGAGCCTCAAGTGCAGTGAGTTTCAGATACCGAATGCCTAAACAAAACAAAAAACTTGGAGTGCAATTTCATGTCAAGTGAAGAGACATTCATTTTATTTTCCTTCATATGTTGGGGGTAGATGGGCTGTTTTAGAGGGTAGCAAGAGACCCTTCTGGCCAGAATTGCGCTTATTCCGTTGATTATATTACTTGTTTCTCTATTTGAAACCTTTATTTTTGACTCAAAACAAATCTTATTGATATTTTAATCTGCATCTTTAAGGCAGATCATTGCACAAATTTCAGATTCGCCATTTTCAGTGAACTCCTAAACAAAAGCAATCAAATATTATGAACTAAAAGAGGGACTTTTCGACAATTACTCCCTTTGTCTCGTTTTGTTTGATGTAGTTTTCGTTTTAGTTCGTCATCTCTTTCCTCGAATTGTATACTTTGTCAATTTCAAACTTCAAGTTAATACATAACAATTCTATTATATTATTACTTTGAATTTGATCTGGCATCCTTAATATTACTTGTATAGTTGTATCTACCACATTCAAATGTAATGAACTGTTCAATTTTTCTCCTAAAAGTCAAAGCATGCCATATAATATTGGATGAAAATTGCAAATATTTTTGGATAAATAGATTCTAAGGGGTAAATTCTTTTTATTCTCAGGTGATCAACCAAATAATGTGAATGAAGAGCTGAAAATTTGGAATACTTTTTACTCTAAGTCCTATTTTGTGTTAATGTAATACTTTGTTCTAACACTGTTCTTCACCCTATCTAATGTATTTTATAGTTCAAAAATATATTTGATGTAATAATAATAATAATGATTATGGATTTATGGTGGTGATGGTAATGGTAACTATGGTAAAATAAAAGTAATAAAAATGCTAAATTATACACAAATGCATGAGAATAAAATATGTTTGCGTCATTATTTTTCTGATATACAAGTATTTTTTGTAACAGACATTTTTCTAGTAGTATTCTATAAAATTCATAGTTAGCTTTCACATTCTTTTCAATTTTTGTTATTTATAAATATTTGATTTGTTTCAAAATGTCATATACGTGTTCAATAGATACATACCAAACAGCATATGGTGTTTAATAAGTCAGATCTAAGTTAAGGTATCTAAACAAAAAATAAAGCCAAATTTAGGGGGTCGTTGATGCATGTGGTCGAAATTTGGGGAGAGTTGGGCTTTTATGTCAAACTACGGGGAAGAAGTATAATTTTCAAAACTTTGGCTGCAGACGTAAATAAACGCTTTCCGTTTACAAAATACAGTTCTCTAAGCTTCAATAAAATTGCCGGTAAGCTATTCTCAGATTTTGTCAGTTTGCAATATAAACAAATTCTTCTTGGTTGGTATCCAATTCCTGAAGATATATATAGAATAGTTACTAATTCTAATTCTCTTTCTGCAACCAACATCAGCATTGAGTACTGCCCGCAAACTGTTTGATGAAATTCCTAGTCCAATGTGTCTCCTTCAATCGTTAAATACTTGTTATTTAATTGATTTTTTTTGATTTTGGACCAAAATAAATTGCGGGTATGCTGCATTTTGTTTTAATCCTTGGAAATAATTGAATTTCTATTAAATTATTTTTTGCTCAATATTGGGATAAAAAGTTTTTTTTTTTACATGTGGGAATTGAGCTAAATATTATGGAAATTTACTCAAGTTTTTTGTGACAGAAGAGAGAAATGGCAAGAGGGTTGATATGGGCTACAGCAGAAGACTTGGCAAAGAATAGAGGAAGAGTTCTGTCTTTGTACAGGCAAATCTTGAGGAGCCTTAACTCACCTGCTTTGCCACTCAACTTAGCAGCTAGGCTTCAAAAGAAAGCTGAGGTTCGTGCCATGTTCATGTTGGGTTCCGAGGAACGATCCCTTCACAACATTCAAGATCTTATTGATGCTGCTGAATACTCTCTTTCCCTATTAAGAAGAGGAGAAATTCCAAAACACATTCAAGTTTATCAATAAGTCGGTCCAATTTTCTTGTGAGTATAAACCTCGTCGAAGAATCTTCTGCATGTGCTTTATTCCCTATATGCATATGTAGTATGTTTTTTTTTCTTGTCAGAACATATTCATTATGTACTGTTTCATTCAGCTGAACTTGAAGTCTTAGTTTTATTTCTTGCAAAGTGGTTCCTTTCGAAGTTCCAATTTCCGAATGATGAAAAATAAAGCAACTTTCTTATGACAAGAACAAGATATATAATGTGCAGAAGATTAATATTTAAGGGTTGGACAAGAATTGCAAGACATGACAGCTATTGAATACGTAATAATTCCGAATATTTGCCCAGTAGATCTCAATTTTTTGATAAAATAAAACCTGAAAGATCTCATTAGTGTTTCAAAAGCTAATGGCAAGTCTATTTTGGTTTTATGCTTGGAATAGCTATAGCCCATAGGCATGTTACCCTTAGACCTGCTGTTTTAATTGGAGGCTTGAAGCAATTTTGTTTTTATTTTTATAATTTAGGGGTCTTCTCTTGCAATCAGATTAACTCGTTTAGAGAAAGTCTTCATATTTTAGTCACGGTTTTGCAGTAGATAAACTCATAAAAGTATAGCATGGTGGAAAAAAATTTAGCATGTTTTGGAAAATGCTGACAAGATGATCAAATGCATGCAAATAACTAAGTACACTAAAATTTCGGTTATCAACGTAAGCTCCCAAGCAGATAAACTCATTGGAAATTTTATGCATTTGAACTATATCAGGATTTGCATTTCTCATACTTATAGTTGTAAGCACGTGATTTTTGCCCTATATGAGAATTACTCCCAAAAAATTCAAAAAATAAAATAATTTTTCTTGGTGTGCAATTTTTGTGATATTTTGTGTAACTATTTGTATGTTTGTCTATACATGTTTATTTGTTAAATTAATAAAAAAATACAAAAATAGGCATCTTTTGCATTTTTAGCATTTAATGTCCAAATGAACAATTTTATGCTTAATTATTACTTAATTGTGCGTTAATTGTTATTGGAAGTTAATTTGCGCTTTTATAACTTAATTTAGTTCTTAATAATAATTTAAGTACTTTTATAATTTAGTTTTAGAAAAATAAAAGAAGAAAAGAGAACAAAAATACAAAGAAAAATCGGATTGGGCCACTTCTTCAATTTCAAACCACAGGCCCAAATAATTGCCCAACTTTCCCCATGACCCGGTCCGTTTCAATTGGAGAAAACTCCCCACGCGCCCTGCGGGCGCGGCGAAAAGGAGGTGCGACAATAGTTTCTGGCAACCTAATAATAATTATCTTCTAATGGCTTCGTTAAGTTATAGTAGCATTTACCTGAATTTGAATCAAGAGCCGCGTGTAAGAATATTCTTGTGCAGGACTCTAATAAAATGATGGCGACAGTTCCTTTATTTTCTCTCTTTCAGGGTTAGTTACATGATTTATTTCTTGCAATTTGCAACATATCATTGACTTCGAGATACTGACGTGTTCAAACAGGTTTGACCCAGCTTACATTGATATCTGTTGCAACTTAAAAGTCTTGTTGAAGATTTCACTTGAGCAGCGTGGGTGTTAAGCTTCTCCCAAGTGGTATCAGCATCCTGTAAATTGTTGGTAGAAATAGATGGTTGACCATTGATGGAGGGAGATGATCTATGACATTATTCTTCTAGAGTCCATTCACATGAGGATAGCAGTGTGCTACTTAATTATAGAGAATAACATTCCTTTCAGTTATTGAATTACTGAGATAGAGAATAACATTCCTTGTTCCTGCAGATGTTTACATATGAGAAAACAAAGAGAAATTTCATTTAATCATGCATCAATTTTGGGGGTGGGGGTGGGGGTAGTATCATGGATATCATAGTAACTAATTGAGATATTTCTCAACTTCTCATGTAACTTTCATTCTTCTATTCTGTGCTGTTAAAGTGAGACAGATGAGTTTATGTGCATTCAAGATTAGACTTTTGCTTTGCTTGATACCTGACTCAACTGCTTTCTGATGGAAAAATGAATAATTGATAGAGATGCAGTGGTTGTGGGAAATTGGAATAAGGCAATGGCATCTAAGTTCAGAGCCTTACTTTAAAAGAGCACATAAAAATTGCTTGAAAAGACAAAATATGAAAATAAAATTAAATAAAGGTCCTCCGATGGCATAACAATCAAATTACTATTTTGGAACAGTATGTCACTACTTGTAGTACCTCCTTTTGTAATGATGTATAAGTATATTTAATATTCTCTGTTAACGGAAAAAAGAAATCAAATTACTATTTGTAGAGGCCAACTTCTCTGGAGTTCCCTAGGAATTTATCTCTCAAATTAAATGTCCAATCTTCTTGTTTTAAGTTGTATTCGTTTTTCTTCGAAAAATTAAATTGTTAGCTGTACTTTTTTATCCTATTATTGTCGACAAGGCATTTAGAAACTTGCTTTTGTTCTAAACACTCTTCACTTTTTCAAAAGATCTAAACATTATCTTTATGTGTGGGACGTTCTTTTGGAGTAACTGTATAATTTTGGATAGATATGATGAATAATCTTCGACAAAAAAAAAAAAAAAAAAAAAAAAAAAAAAAAAAAAAAAAAAAAAAAAAAAATAAAAAAAAATCTCCTACTTTCAATTTGTAACGGTTTCAAAATATCAAGTTGATTTGTCTATTATATTAGTGATTGTGAAAGAAATATTTAGGGGTCTTTTGGTGTGATGGATAAGCTAAAATAGTCTTGGAATAAAAATTTACTACCGTCTTATCCCTTGTTTGGTTGCGAATCCTCAAATAAGTTATCCTATGATTAAAAATAGTACCGGGATAACTTAGCTAAGGAATTATTTCAGCCACAAAAAATTTCTTCCCGGCAGAGTTGGTTAAGATTCATGTAAATCCCACTAACGGTAACAGTTAGTAGTTATGGAGCTCAACATCTGAATCCTTCATACTGGCTGTATGCTTTGTGGAACAAGATATCAAATGTTATTACTTTCTGTTACATCCTTAAATGTTAGTAGCAATGCCACTTCTCAAGATCCTTCTGTGTTTCACAAACTCCAGACTTGCAAGTCAACCAAAGAAATAAAAAAGATCCAATCTTCAAACACTAAAATTAGTTCCGTACAGCACACCAAAATCATCTCTTTATCTTCTTCCCCAATACCCTCTAAGGAATTTAGCTATGTCCGCTCTCTTTTCTGTCAAATACATGACCCAGATATCACTCTTTGTAACTCCTTAATGAGATGTCTTTTAAGTTCTAAGTGCAAAGAATATGCTTTACTTGCATTACTAATGCATGTTGAAATGATGCGTAAAGGCTTAGTTTTGGATAAATATACGTACCCTCTTGTTCTTAACGCATGTGTACAGTTACGTGAGCTCAGACATGGCAGATCGGTTCATTCCCATGCGATAAAAACTGGGTTTGCGTTGGATTTGTATGTGATGAACAATTTGATTCGTCTGTATGGTGTTTGTGGGTGTGTTGGGAGTGTTAGGAAGGTGTTCGATAGAAGTCCTGAGAGAGATTTGGTATCTTGGACTACTTTGATTCAGGGGTATGTGGACAACGGGCATTTGAAGGAAGGAGTTGAGTTGTTCTTTGAAATGATTGAACATGGATTAAGGGCTGACGAAAGGATGATGGTCGTTGTGATATCTAGTTGTGCTAAATTAGGGGATTTGAGATTGGGCCAGAAGTTACACAAATATGTGCAGGGTCATAAGTTAAATTTTGATGTGTTTCTTGGGAATGCATTGGTGGATATGTACATAAAATGTGGTGAAACCGATATTGCTCTTAATGTTTTCCGAGAGATGCCAACGAGAAATGTGATCTCTTGGAATACATTAATATCTGGATTGGCTCAGAGAAGGGAGTTTAAACAGGCCTTGAGTGCATTTAATGAAATGCAGGATCAAGGAGTAAAGCCTGATGAGAACACTTTAGTTGGTGTTCTGAATTCCTGCAGCAATTTAGGGGCACTAGAAGTTGGGAAATGGGTGCACACATATATAGACCGAAATCAGATTCAAGTAGCAGGGTATGTTGGCAACGCGCTTGTAGATATGTATGCAAAGAGTGGAAGCATGGACGACGCCCTTAGAGTTTTCGGAAGTATGAATACTAAAGATGTTTATTCATACACATCTGTGATAGTTGGGTTGGCCACACATGGTAAGGCGCGGATAGCACTTAATTTCTTCTATAAGATGCTCGCAATTGGCATACAACCAAATGGGGTCACTTTCGTGGGTGTTCTCACAGCTTGTAGTCACGGAGGATTGGTGGAAGAGGGCCATAAGCTTTTTGCAGATATGTGGAGAGTGCACAAATTAACACCTCAAATAGAGCATTATGGCTGTATGGTTGATCTGTTGAGTCGTGCAGGGTTGGTAGATGAAGCAGTAGAGTTCGTGGAAAACATGCCAATTGAACCGGATGCTTCTATTTGGGGATCAGTATTAGCAGCATGCAGGATCCAAGGAAGAGTTGAACTCGCTGAGCATGTGACTGAAAAACTTGTCAATATAGAGTCTGAAAAAGACGGTACATACATACTGATGTCAAACACATATGCTTCAGTCAGTAAATGGAGAGACGCTTTAAAAGTAAGAAGGGCAATGAAGAAACGGAAAATAAAGAAAGTTCCGGGATGTAGCTCCATTGAACTTGATGGCGTGGTTTCTGAATTTAGGAAGGGTGACAAAGCGCATCCAAGAAGTAAAGACATATATGCGACAGTTGAGCAACTGAAACTTCATTCAATTGGTACAGAGGCCTTCTCAAACGGAAATGAGCCCCTCATAGTTTGAATGGTGCAATGAAATTGGCAGCCTAATCTGTAAATGAAATTTGTCAAGTTGACCTCAGATATCACTTCTCGACTTAAATGGCATGAATTATTTAGAAGCTCTGCCTTTTCTCCTGATAAGGTTTAGAACAATTTCTTTGTACATTTTGCACCAAACATTTTAGTATAGTGAAGTATATTACACATGGATCGTGCACAACTCGTTACAAGAAACTTTAAGACATCATTTGTCTGATCATTGTTGGGATGCACTTTTGCACACCAAACATTACATATATAAGCAAAAGAAATAGTATGTGATATGCAGCTTGCCTTTAGATTTTGAAGGTGAATTAGTTGAGCAGCTGATCCAGTCAACTGCTACTTACCTTTCTAAGCATTATGGTTTGAAATCCAAAATTGTCAGTTAAAAGGTACTATATTTTACATGGCTGAGAAGTCGAAGAACTGGGAACAAAAGTTCAAGTTTCAGTAGAGGTAACATTACCGAGTATTTATGATGTTGGAAAATAACAGGTATCTGGTGGACTAGTGGAGGTGTACGTAAACTGGATTGGAAACAAAAAAAAGAAAAAAGATCTTGCCTTTTGCAAGTGTGTGAATAAACTTAGAGAAGGTGATGATATGTTTATCAGCGCAAACTGTGGAGGTTAATTTGGTTGCTGTGGCTAAGAGCCAAACAAAGATTTCTACACATTGCCTGCACACAAAGAATTCTTGTGAAACAAAGGCAATTGACGTACAAGGGAAGCATTCAGTTAGCTTGTTTCCCAGAGTTTGATACCTGGGAGCTAGGAGTTCAAGGTGGTAGTGCACTGTTACGTATAGGGAAGCATCATTTAGCTTGAAACAACAGAATTAATTAGAGAAAACTCATACGGACAAGACATGAGAGTTACTCGTATGGGGCTTTAATTACTCGTAGATATAAAGTATTAAAATCTACTTCTAAGTTGAGAGGACTAGTTACTTCTAATCAAGTAGGAAAAGACTACCATTATATTTTCTTCTTCTTTGATAGATTTCTTGCATTGTCTAATTCTTTCTGAGTTATTAGTTGTGTTTCGAGTTAAAGTCATTTTAATCCATTTTGCCTATGAGATTATCTTACAAAAGCAATGAGATGATCAGGATTAATTATGGAATGAGAATGCTAACTATGCGGAAGACATAATTAAGTACCATAAATATAAGTGTGTTCTCTCTAAATATACTTTACACTTTTAGATGAGATTGTCGTACTATTTTCTCTAATACTGTGAGCTTTTAGATGAGATTGTCATACAGTTCAACAAACTAATCATTAATTTACCCTGTATATATAACCCCCCTCTTCAGTACCCTCGAGGTTAGACACACTCGGCCAAATTCATGGCTATAGGATTTTATAGTTCAACTACTTAACTAGTGTGGGTAGGCCATCAACCATCAATAGATAATTAATGATTATGTACTGTAACAAAATTGTTGTGAAATATGTTCTGCATTTCCTAACCTCTACATTTAACGCAAACATCCGAAAAAGGGAGAGAGAGAGGGGAGTGGGATTGGTCCATAGCCGAATTTGGTATATTGGAATTTGGATATCCACCTAGCTAATGTTTCATATTATAAAACCTGAAAAAAAAAACAGATTTGCTTTGAAGTATAATTGTAGAATCCTTTTATTATTGGAATATTTTTTCAAGAATGTTCTGAATGTCATAAGAAAAAGGGTCAGAAATGATGATCTTTTGTAACAATGAATTTTCGTTGTCACAACAATACTATTTGATGCACTAATTGAACATCTAGAACGTAGCTTAACAATGGAAGGGCTAAGAAGAGCTAAGAATATCAAGAAAAATAAAAGAAGAGCTCTCTATTTTTTTTTCCGATAAAGGATCCTCTCATTCTCATGCCTTGCAACCCTAGTATGATCAATATCCAGTCGAGCTTTGTATGTTCCCACGAATTTAAATTTGAAAATCAAAATGCCGGTTTTAGTTGTAATATTTCATTATAATAATTGAATAGTTAATAGCCAAACTATAAGATAAATTTCCATTTTCGTACTATAAATTGGTAAAGATTACTGAGGTATATTATGGTAAGAAAATAATTTGATTTGTTTGATATAATTATTTTGTTGGATGGTGAATTTCTTTCTATGCACTAGTCTGTGAGTAACTGCATCATCCAACTTGGCAGTCACAAGGAATGTGTGATCGACCTTTCAGCATATCTATATCCAATGATTGATTAGAAACAGTTGATTTGGCTCCCCAAGCTGTTCCCTAATGTGAAGCTATTGCTGTTACAAGTATGGTTAACAATATGAAATTGTTATTCTATTTTTTTTTTTAATTTTAAATGATTTTTTTTCATACAACAACAACAACAACATATGCGGTATAATCCTACATAATAAGGTCTCGAGAGTATAATGTGTACGCAGACCTTACCCGAGAGATTATTTCGAATAGATCATTGGCTCAGTAAAGTATAAACACAGCATTAATAAAAAGAAAAACGGCGCCTATACATGCATTTTTATGACCATTCTCGAGCTAGTCGGGGCCGGGTCATTATATGGATCCACATTGTTCATCTTAAATGGTTTTTAGTTAATTAAATCGCAGTTGATCACAACTCTTCTTCTTTATCCGAGATTAAATTGCGGGTAATATCAATATATCGGTTCCGTTGTACTTATTAATAATCATCTTAAATTTAATGACCAAATTTCAAGAAAAAATTGGCAACTGCATGTATTCTCTTGTACTCTAATTTGGATAAGCCAATGACGAAAATCAGCAGCAAGTTAGGCCTACAAATTCATACATCAACTTTCCATGATCTCACTTTGAACGGCGATAAACTTGCTCTTAAGGCCCGGCCCGGGGCAAATATTACTAACCAAATTAAACATTTTAATTGCAATTATGGAGGGCAAATATTATAACCGTAAATTTACAGTATTATGTACATAACTTAATTGGGCGAACAATTTTTGAATTTTAAGTTAATTTGTGGGCGTTATGCACATTGCTTTTACAAATTATGAGGGTAGATTTAGTATAGTGTTTAATTTACGCTAAACTGATCAAACCTACCAAGATATATGTCTTACATATATATATTGTTATCTCTTGCTTCATCTCGAAAATTCCATAAACTCTTGGGATACTCACAAAGAGATTAAAACATCAAATTATGTCATATTCAAGTCCGAAATGATCAAGAGACGTCTTCTTCCTCAAGATCAAACGAACTTCTTCACAATCAAATATTTTAAGAAAATCCACATAAATCATTAGGAGTCTGCATCATTCTACTTTCGACAAAATACGGTGCTTAAAACCTCGAATCACAAAAAACAATCCAAAGAAAGGAATCAAGGGAATAAGTAGAATTGTACTCACAATTTATTAATAATATCTCTTGTTCTTCATATTTGTTGTGAATGCAATTTAATTATTTTTTGTATGTCACAAATTTGTTGCAAACAGTATTACTATAAACATTAAGTTCTAAAAAAACAACTTAAATATTCTTCTCCACATATATATATATATATATACACACGCATTACTGCCTAAATATATATTCTGGAAAAAAGTGCCTGTCTGCATAAATATCACTGATTCACTATCAGTTGAAAGTCTGAGTTGTTGGTTTAATTAGTTGGACTTTCCAATTCGCATGGAGGAAATTACTGAACAGTGGGCCCCTGGACCCCACTGTCATTACAATGCTAAACAAAATGTTACTCCCAACTAACAATATCTGCAGAAAATATCACTATTTGCGTGAATGTATAATGTTCTAAATCTTTTTTATTTTTTATTTATTTCTAGCCTTATGAATTTTGTAGTGAAGTTTGATCATATGGCCTATGGGCAGTAATTTTATGCTCTGGCATCTAAAACAAGTACAGAATATGTGCGCATATGTAAAATTTTCTCATTCTTTTGACAATTAAATAATTACTCCTATTCTCCTAATTGCCAATTTGCATAAAATAAGTATCAGCGATTTAGGCCTATTGACCAAACCTTTTTTCTATTATAATATCGTGATAGTGATGAAGTAAAAGAAATGGTGTTGATGATATTTGATAAACTCGTACCTTATTTTATTACATGTATAATTTATCAATTTATATGCAAAATAATTGGCCAAAAAGGAAGACACAAGAAACTAAAGAAGAACTGTTTACAATGCTAGTTTGATTCATATGTCCTATAAGTTTGAGATAAAATGTGTGAGACAATAGACTAATTTCTTTTCTTCCATGGACAAAATTCGATTTAAGTTTTCTTACTAGCTCCTTGTTAACTACGTGAAGGAAAAAGAGACATCTCTTAAAAGAATGGTAAAAAAAAAGAAAAGAGTTTAAGTTAAACAAGTGACAATGTAATAATTTTACCTTATTAATATAATTTAGCTTGTTATGAGAATTACGTTACCATTTTTCTCAAGTTAATTACTAGTATAGAAATTTACATGTAATTACTTCATAACTGACTTAATTGTATAAATAATTTTTTATTTCGCATAAAAATTAGATAAAAGAAAATAAAATAAAAGCCTCTCTACTTGATGGAATAGCAATTGTTAGGGGAAAAAACAGAAAAAGAAAGGTGGGGAATGGGGATGATGTGGTATATATGTTGGACAGGGGAAAATCAAAGGTGCAGCTGCAACAAAGCAAAGTACTCAAATACTTTAAGGAGATTATGAGTGGTCCCCACTGACCTTGAGTTTCTGTCGTAAAATTTTATTTTGTGTCTCGTCCAATTAACACTAGTTGTATGAGATACTTTTTTTGTCTCACAGTTTTGTGGATCCAAATTTTTGTGGACTTACAAATATAAGATTGGGGTTCACAAATTTATAAGACAAAAAGGAGTCACACATTAATATTGTGTGACAAAAAAGGAGCCTCACAAATTTTATTGTGCTAGGCACACAATAAAATTTCTCCAAACTTCCCTTTGCTATGAGGAAATTAAACTG